GACTGCCCCCCCCCCAGAGCCTCTGCCCCCTCCAATCGCTCCCTGCCCCTTATCCAACCCCTCCTCCCAGCCCCGGCCCGGCCCCCTTACCAGGCCTGCACAACTCGTAAAGCGGTGAGGGCCATATTACTGCAAAGAAAATAGCTGAGGGCCGAAACGCCCTGGCCCCGCTGAAACACCCCCCCCCCCCAGCGCTGCCCAGCCCCTGTGTAAGCAAGCAGGACTCACCTCGGCGGCACCTCCTGCTGGTCTTCTCGGGAATTAGTTCATCCAGCCATTGGAGCGCCCTCTGCAGGCCGGTGTCCCACTGCCGCTGGCTCTGTGTCCCTCCTGGATCCCGGTGCCCTTTGATCTGGGGTGCTGCACCCTGGCAATACCCCCACACTCTGGCTCTTGGTCTCCTCTGTTTGGGGAACCCCCAATCCTCTAATCCCCACCTCACCTCCGTATAAGGCTACTGCCAGTCACCAACTAGCCCCCGCGCCCTGGGGTAGACTGCAGTATAAGTTACTCATCACAGGCAAGGTTGGGTTTGGACCTGCTGCCTCCCTCTATAGCTGGGCTGCCCCTCTGCAGCCCTGGTACTGGTCTTAGGCCCTTAGCTAGGTCCGCAGCTTGGGGGTTTTCCAGGCTGAAGTTCCCCAGCTCCTCTAGCCTTCCCCAGCCCTGCTCCACTCCCAGTATCCTGCTCAGCTCTCTCGCAGCCAGGCCCTTCTCTGTCTGCAAGCAGAGAGAGACTTCCTCGGGGCCTCTGGCTCACAGCCTTTTTATACAGGACAGCTGGGGCCTGATTAGGGAAGCCGCTGCAGCTGGGCCATGCCCCAATCAGCCTAGCTTTTCCCCTGCCACAGCCCTCCCCCAGGGCTGTTTTTAAGCCCTTCAGGGCAGGAGCGGGGTAACCATCCTGCTACACCCCCCCGAAACACATCCCCCGCCCCAGCGCTGCCCGCCCCGCAAAAACAAACCCTCCTTCCCCAGCGCTGCCCCACCAAAACAGCTGTGGGCCGAAAAAGGTTTTTTGGGGGAATGGGGGTGATACTTTATTAATTTTTAAATTATTTTAATTTTTTTTATGAATCGTGGAAAAACAAAAAACACCTGTTCCATTGAAAGAAAACATTGGTACTTTTCATAATTACTTTACAAATTTAATGAGATATTTACATTTCTTTTCGGCAACAAGCTTGTCTTATTCAGGGGTCATATTTGAAGTAGATATTTTCATAATGTCGTCTTCCAAATGGCCGTCAGTCAGAGAAGAACGTTGCTTGTTTTTATTCATGTTCATGATGGAAAATGTTTGTTCACATATGTAAGTGCTTCCAAAAATGCTGAACGTTTTCAGTGCAACTTTGATAAGATTCTTGTATTTTTCATCGCCCAGACTTTTGTAGAAGTCCCACAGGCTGCTCTCTCTGTGCTTATTTCAGTAAACTGCCGAACATTGAAGTTCAATAACCTCCAACTGCAAATCTAGTGGCACTTCCTCTGGCTCCATAGAAAAGGGATCTTCAATCAGCTTCAACTGGACGTCATCGTCTTTAGACAAAGTAAGTCTTCTGTCAAATTCTTCAATCAAAAGATTGATGTGCTTAGGAGAAAAATACACAAACTCGGCATGTTTGTGCTGAGGGATATGCTGTGCACAAGTGGGAAAGTGACACATTTCACCTTTTGACAGCTGACTTCTGAAAAGTTTCAATTTCATTTTGAAAGCTTTCACTGCTACACACATTTGAAATGTAAGTTGATTTTTTTCCATGAAGTTGAATGTTGAGATCATTCAGGTGTGCTGTAATATCGCAAAAGAAAGATCTTGATTCCAGGACTCATTTTCAAGTTCCAGGAATTTTATTGGCCCATTTTCTAGGAATTTTGCTACCTCCTCTTTCAAAGCAATGAAACGCTCGAGCACTCTTCCTCGACTCAACCACCTGACTTCTGTATGGTAGATTAAGTCACTGCACTTGGCATCTTCCCCTTCAAGAAAGACTCGAAATGTCCTATGTTTTAGTCCTCTAGAACGGATGTAGTTTATAATGGAAACTACCACTGACATTACATGCTCAAATTTTAAGACTTTGCTACACAAAGCCTGCTGATGTATAATGCAGTGATGTTTGGTTATTTGTCTCCTGATAAATTCTTCAAGAAGAGTAACTGCTCCAACATTTTTTCCACACATAGCTGGAGCACCATCAGTACAAATGGCCACCAAGTTTGTGAAATCTAATCCCGATTTATCATTCATGCACTTTATCATTTCACTGGAGATTTCTTTTCCAGTTGTGCGACCCGTCATGGAGCACATGCCAACAAGTTCTTCAGTAATTTCAAAGTTTTTATCAATACCTCTAATAAAAATAAGAAATTGATGCTTTCATCCATAGCTAGGGAGTAAAAGCAGAATTCACTGACTCTGCTTTAACTGATCACTTAGATTGGTAGAAATGTCAGCTATTCTTCTCTGTACAGTCATGTGTGATAGACTGACATTCTCAAATATTCCCCTCTTTTCTGGACATAACTCAGATACAGCAATCAACCTACACTTTTTTTTAAAAACTCGCCTTCTCTGAAGCATTTCCCAGCAGCAGCAATTTCTTTAGAAATTTGAAAGCTTACTTTAGTAATCGTATCGTTCTCAGTGCTCACGTTCTTGAAAATTTGCTGTTCTCCACTAAGGTTTTTAGCTAAACTGGCTGCTTTAATTATTTTTTCACTTGGGTTCAATTTGGTGAGATTGGGATGTTCAGTTTCAAAGTGCCGCCAAAGGTTGTATTCTTTCCGAACGGTTAACATTTCGCAACACATGAGGCACAGTATTTTGTCTTTGGAAACACTACATAAGTATTTATTTGTCCATTCAG